TGGAATTTCAAGTTGGGGACTGGGTGCTATTGAAGGTCTCTCCCTGGAAAGGAATGATTCGTTTCGGAAAACGGAGGAAACTAAACCCGCGATACATTGGACCATTCGAGATCCTTGCCCGAATCGGTCCAGTGGCATATAGGCTGCAACTTCCTGCGGAGCTCAGCAACGTACACCCTGTGTTCCACATCTCAAATCTGAAGAAGTGCCTATCAGACGAAACTCTGGTTATTCAATTAGAAGAAATCGAAATCAACGAGAATCTCCTGTTCGTGGAAGAACCAGTTGAAATCATGGACAGGGAGGTGAAGCGTACTAAGCAAAGTCGCATTCCAATAGTGAAGGTTCGATGGAACGCAAAGCGTGGACCGGAATTCACTTGGGAACACGAGGACCAAATGAAGCAGAAGTACCCTCACCTATTCTCGTATCTTCAAACCTAATTATCAGAAGAATTTTGGGACGAGATTCCCTCTAACGGGGGGATGATGTCACAACTTGCAATTTTAGCTAGGAAATTCTATCCTGATGTAAACATTAACAATGGCAACAATTGTAACCATGACTTGAAAACATGATTTATGAGTACTCAATGACAACAAACTTCCATTTAAAATCCAAATGAAAGTTCAAAGTTCAATACAAACACTTCAAATGGTCAACTACAGATTGGAAACCCTAAAAATCCCGATTTAAGTCCATCATGGACTAGGATTTTCTTATTGGGCCTAATGGACCAATAAGGCTCCAATTTGACTATTTTGGGCTTAGGACCCTTATATGGGCTCTAATTGGACCCACTCTCTTGGAACTTAACACTTTGGGCCATAATGGGCTTAAATGGATTAGTTTAACTTCAATGTGCCTTGTTGGGCCATAACAAATCTAATTAGCCCTAATGGGCCACAAGCTCATTCTTTTATTCTTTTTGGGCCGTGAACTACCCTAAAGGCCCAATGGGCCGAAAGTCCCTTATGGACCACATGATTTCAAACTAAGGCTAGAAGTGGGCCAAATTAATCCAATTCTTCTCTCTTTAGCCCATTCTCGGCCTATGTACAAAACAAAAAAAAAAGGAAATAAAAGAAGGGATTAAGGGAGGGTTGACTTTGGGAGGTGCCACCTCATTTTTTGTTTAAAGGATAACTAGGATTTAAACCACCATGTATCCATACTAGTCACTTCATCACTCACTCCCCTCTCCTCTTCTACTCTCGGCCGAAGACAAACAAACACACACACACACACACTAAACCAAATTCTCTCAAACACTCTCAAGGATCATCCTACTCCTTCCATTAAAAATCTCGAAATTTGCTTGTGTTTCAAGAAGGTTTTCACAAGATAATCATCACTTCTTGGTAAGTCTTTACACATCCAAGTTTATAACTCCATTCTCATGTTAGATCACTCTTTTAAGCAAAGTTTTTGGTGATTTTGCTTCCTAGAACTTCTTAAGTTCGAAATCCACTCAAGAAAGCTTGCTAGGACCAAAATCTTCTTCATTTCTTCTTCAAAACCGAAACATCAAAGCAAAGGTGAGTTCATACCCCTTGTTTTTTCGGTTTTTACATGATTTTTGGGGGAGAATACAAGTGTTATGTGTTGATCTATGTGTGTATGCATGTTATGTGTGATTTCTTTGGTTCTTGTTGTGAAATATGTGATAATACTTGTTATATTTCGAGATCTATAGCATAAATGTGTAAGATTCATGAACTAAAACATATTAGACAGCATACTACAAAGATACATGTGGTTATATGTTTAAGAAGTGAAAAATCAAAACAAAAAGTTTGTATAAGTATCATTTTAACAAATAAAAGAAAGTTTGGGGTCAAAAGTGACAATCTCAGTTTTTATAAGTAACAAAATGGTTTCATTTACATAAAATTGAATTTTATGATAAACATGCTTTTCAAAGGACCAAAAGTGCAAATTTTTTGCCTAATGGGCTTAAATTGTGGGCCTCACGGTTTTGGGCCCATATTTGCGAAAATGAGGAGTTTTAGAGGTTAGAAAAGTAATTTGACCAAATATTAAGTCAAAAACATAAATAAACAAATGTAGGGGCTGAAAATGACTTTTAATCCTAAATTGGGTCAAAAATGTAAAGTTTTTGGAAATTAGGCCAAAAATGTAAAACTTGCGGAATTTGGGCCCAAAGTGTAAACTTTTTACAAATAAGGGCTGGAAATGGCAAATACAATATTTTTGGGCTGAAATTATTATTTAAATTATGTTTGGGCCGAAAATGTCAAGAAAAGTAGTTTAAGGACCAAAAACGTCAATTTTCATCAAAAAGGACAAAAAATGTCATTTTTATTAATAAGGGGCTGAAAATGTAATTTTATGTGAAAAATGGGCTGAAATGGTCAAATCAATATTTTGGGTCAAATGGGCTAATATTTAAACTATTGGGCCAAAAATATTAAATTTATAACGCATGGTTTTTAAAATGTTTATAGATATAAAACTGCCCCCCAAATTGTATGAAATGAGTTTATTTTGATATTTTGCTTAAGATTAAGTAGATGAATTTAATATACAAATTGATGTAATTGAGATGTATTTGAGCAATAACATGACTAATTTTTTTTGAAATACTTAATTAAAATATTATACGTATGGAACAACAATAAAAATCATTAATTATAATATTAGATATAAATTCAAAAAGACGTGGTAGTTTGAAGTAAAGAACTAAATACCATGCAAAGAACTATAGATATATATATCTATATATATATATATATATATATATATATATATTATATATATATAACAACTATTATTTTATATTTAATTGTAATATTTTAGTTATTTTTCATGACCAATATTTTTTACAACTTTTAAACAATAAGATTTTATTCTTGCGTAATACTCGGATATCCGCCTAGTAATAAGATAATAGTAAAGAACTCAGTGTCACACAAAAAATATTACATTAAGAAACAAAAAATGAAAACAAAACATTTTTAAAAAAGCCTTTAAATGACCATATTTATTAAAAAAACCCTCATATATTATTCTTGACCTATCGGATAAAAGGGCAAATTGGTAAACAACAACTGAAAGTTTTATTTGACGTTGGTTTGCTAATAGAAAATAGAAAAAACTTCATAAATAGTCCTATGGTTTTCAAAAACCAGACATATACTCCTTAAGTTTAAAAAACCTTATAGATAGTACTTGTGATTTCAAAACTTTTAACAAATAGTCTTTTCAATTAATTTCATTATAGATTTAGTCGGTTTCGAAATTAAATGAACTTTTTACCCTTTGCATATTTATTTTTTATTTTTCATTATTTCCCTTTAACATTTTATTATTCTTAAATACATGAATGACCCACAAAATATCTCTCTCTTAATTGATTGTGTTCCTCCCTAAAAAACTCATACACACACTTAGGGATGTGCTTCGGGTTGGAACCGACCCGAACCCGAATAACCCGAAACCCGAATTGGATGAAAAATGGGAACCGAAACCCGAACAGATTATACTAATACGGACCGGTTCGGTTCGGGTAATACGGGTTCGGTTCGATTATTAACCCGAAAGGACCGAAATAACCCAAATAAACATTTACACTATGTTTTTGAACCGAATAACCCAAATAAACCAAAATAACCCGAATAACCCAAATAAACCGAAATGGCCCGAATAACCCAAATAAGGAAATTCTATATCTAGTTCAAGAAAAAAATATTAATTTAATATTTCTTTTCTTGAACTAAATATATAATTTCTTTATTTGGGTTATTCGTCCATTTCGGTTTATTTGGGTTATTCGGGGTCATTCTGGTTTATTTGGGTTGTTCGGTTCAGGTGACTATTCACTTTCCGGGTCGGTCTTTTTGGCCCGATTAAACTTTTATTCGGGTAACCCGAACCGAATAACCCGGAACCCGAATTGGGAAAAAATAGATACCCGAGAACCGACCCAAATAACTTATTCGGTCCTAATTCGAGTCGGTCCAGTCCGGGTTTCGGTTTCGGTTCGGGTATTCGGTCCAAACGGACATCCCTACCCACACTAATATTGAAGCATAATGTGACTCTCCTTTGCAACTCCGTTATTCTAGCAACCATCCTGATAGAGCATGGGATATTACCTAAGAAGGCAAGCTCGTCGTTGCTGGTCGCCGCCTAAAGCCACCGAATCGCCGCCCACAACCACAATTGAGTGAGGTAGCATCACTGTAACCACCAACAGATCCTCCCTTCTGTTATTGATTTCTTGTTGATCATCCTCTTTCACATCACTGTAAACCATCCTTTTGTCACCTCCCCATCTCCTTCCTTTATCCCTGTCTCTCTTCCCCAATCTATCCTAAATTTCTGTTTGACCTAGATTTCTTCACCTTCATCTAGAAAATAAAACCCAACATTCTTATTATTCATCTGGAATAGACAAATTAGAGAAGGTGTGAATGAAGGTTTCGTCTCTAAGGAACTTGAATGGGATACAAAGGTGTCCTTATTTCCTCTTGAGAATGGAAAGGATTTTTGCTTTAAAGAAACTGGAGAATAATTGGGTTCGAGTTGAAAAAAAAATTCTCAAATTAGCTTTACAATATCTTTCTTATGTAGGTCTTTTTCCCCCAATTATTAACAACATTGTTTAGATACATCTATCTTATTTTGCCTCTGAATTCGAGTTGAATCAACTGTTCTACAGGGAAGAAAAGAAGCTTTTTGAGGATGATGATGAACGTCGGTAGAGAGAGAGATGTTTAAGTGTATGTGTGTGTGTTTTTGAGTTTCAAGTAATCGAGAGGGGGGGGGGGGGGGGAGACAGAGAAAAGCGGGGCCAATGGATTATTTATTTTGTTTTTCTATTTTCTTTAATAAAATTGGGTAAATTATATATATACTTACTAATTCTAAAGGTCCACTTGAACAGTTCTTGGCTCTGATTGGACCAACATCAATTTCATTTTTTCTTATTTTTTTTATCCCACCGCCTCCAAACTTGCTGGCTAGGGTTTAAGAGAATGGGCTTATGTGATGCCCTCTGTTTTCCACCGCTTCCGCTTATATACGTGTCCGCTTCTATTATCCAAAGCGATACGTGTCCGATGCTTCCACCGCTCCATCTCTTTCTTCTTTCCGAACCTTCCACCACCGCTCCAGGTAAGTTTCAAGGATGTCCAACCGGTATGCCCTGCTCCTCTCTTTTTAAATCCATCACATGTTCCTCTTCACCTTTCTTCTTCTTCTTCTTCTTCTTATTTTTTTGGCAGATTTGGTTATTAACTGTGGTTTTTCGTTGGTTTAAGGGGGTATGCCAGGGGTCAAATTAGGGTCCATGAATTATAGATTTATGAAATTGTGATGATGAGAAGATGTCGACCGGTGATGATTCAGAAGATTTTTCAGCATTGTCTAAAAGATTGATCGGCGGATTAGGCCTGATCGGCGATTAGGCCTTGCAATTGAGTTTCGTCCGATTCTCCACCTCCCAGAAACTTCTCTCGCTGAATGTCTGCTTCCGAGGTTTGATTTTGTTGCTTTCTTGCTTATTTTTTGATACACTGATATGCCACCAGCTGAAAGGTTCCAGCTCTGTACATCGTGCTTTTGTTAATTTGACGGAGGAGGAACGCCATAAACAGCAAATCCATTCCATCAGGTATATCGATTACTGACACGTCTTTTGACCACAGGTTGTAAAATGGTTTTTTTTTTATATTTTTTTTTTATGATCAGGAGAGGGAAGCTTCTTTGAATGGAACTTTATCTGATATTAATCAATGGGTTGATGGATTCACAGGTTTAACTCTTATAAGAACCATAATCCAAATATATGATAAGATTATTGTATTAATTTGTGAAACTTTTGCATTGTTTCTCAGATGATACTCCTGCATCTGGACCTGCTTAAGAGGGTCTGGATCAATCTTCAGAGGGTTGGCTAGATAATTGTCTAATAAATGATACAGAGATGCATTTATGTGTTGGTGGTTTGTATGTTTTTTTATAAACCTCATTAATTAATAACCAAAAAGATTTGACTAATTTTAACAAGTTCATAACAGGAATCCATCTAACAAAGATAGTAAGGTTAAAAAGCCATTGAATTTGTTGATAAGTTAATTTGATTTTTATTCGATTAGTAAATACAGACACACCTACTTCAATCTGGTAAGGTTAAAAAGGCATTGAATTTGTTGATCTGTTACATATGTTGACTGTAGGAAATTCTTGCTACAGTTTTTTTAACAATGGCAAATTTGTGATTAACAGAGCTAATGTATTGGGAGAAAAACGGAGGCGGTGTTTGCAACTTATGATCCAGCTCACGGAATATAGGCTAAAGATTTTTTACAAATATATAATGTGTCAGTAGAATTTGATACTTGAACACAGAAGGTAAATTTTCATCGGACTTTCCTCAATTATAAATGATTTTTGCATCCCTTCAGTTGTGATTCCGGTTTAAATGTCTGGTCTTTTAACTGTGATTCCTTTAACTGTGATGATGTTTGTACTTTATATCTTTTACTGACTCATAAATGAATCTTGATCATATTTATCCATTTTTTTTAACTTTTCAGGCACATTGCATTTCAACATGCGGCCATAATGTGGAGAATGCGGAGGACGGTGGTATCATATTTGTATGGATTCATGAACCAGTTTATGAGGTCTGTTACGAAATTATCCAATTCCCCTTTTTACTTCAATTGCATTTTAGGCTGTTGATTGATATACCTAAAATTAATTTTTTTGATTTTATCCTAATTCAGTTTGATTTAGCTTATTTCATCATGAACTTGTCAAAAGAGGAACACCAATTGAACAAGAAACCATTGATTGATCGCAATTAGGGCTTTCACATTGATCGCATATTGCATTTATTGTTTCTTCAATATCTTGAAATTATGATTAGAAGTTATAATAAATGAATTTTGTTAGTGATTTGTATATTTATCAATTGCTGACAAGTTTACTATGTCGTTTCAGGGAAGAAATGGGAATGGCACACCTGAAAGACAACCTATGACTCCACATTCCCTAACAAAAATGGGTTGTAGGTTAGTTAAACAGATGAAGTGATTTCTGAAGTTCCATTTTCATCTAAAATCTGTTCATTTTAATGAGAGTTTTCTTTTGTTTCTACAGAGAGCGTACAACATGCTGTCAAGGAAATCATAAATTATCCAAATAAAGAATCTTGAAACAGGTCGTACAACATGTTAACTAATATAGTAATATTATTTTTTTTAATGATGTTTATTCTGATTTTCTTGCATGATTTTTAGTTTTTATTTTAATTTATAAGTCCAAATGAAATAAATAGTAACATATAACATCCTGTTTTTTCAGTTTATTTCTTAATAAGCCACTGTCCTTGGAAAAATCTACTAATTATAGCATTGTACTGTTTTTTTTCTTATTAGGACATTGTACTTTAATAAATTTACCTAATTTTAGCAATAAATATAAATTTCAATTTGCATGACATTCCTATATTTGAATATATTTTTTCAAAGTACAAAACTGTAACAAGAAAAATTTAAAGTAGGATGCTATAGCAAACAAGTTCATAAAAGTACAAAACTGACTAATTTTTATCAAAATTTCAGGTCTTTCCCGTTAGGTCCAGGTGCAAACGCCTCCCATAATTCAATTATGGTGAGTCGTTATCTCTTATATTAGATATGTATTTTTTACAAAATTCAACATTCTAAACTTTGTGTTTCACCACGCAGGATACACCAAAACTCATCGACTTAAAGCACGAATCACTAGACATGGAATCTGAAATGAGTCAATAGTATAACCATGTCTCCAAGGGTATAGATGTCAAAGAGCAAGACTACACCAACAGAAAGTGTCGCCAAAACTTTACATTATATACATTGATGAAAAATGAGGGTCTATTTTTTTTATGTGAAATTCAAGTTTGTATTTAGTTGAAAAAGAAATGGTTTTTCCGTTTGTGTTTTTTGTTTATTTCTTTTTCTGTTATTGCTATCTTCATTTTGACCGTAGACAGGTTTTTCTAGCGGATCCAATCCCGCAAAGCGGGACTCTTCCCTAGTTAATTCTAAAACGAAATAGAAAGGCAATATAAGTTTTTTTTATGTGGGTGAAAGACTTTTTGTTAAAAGTTTTGAAACCACAATGATCATTTACAATGATCATTTAAAAGTAGGGCAATGGCCCAGGGCATCAGTGGGCCTAGGGGCGGCAAAATTTTAAAAACTGTTATGTATATATATTAGTTAATTGGGCCAAAATTCAGTCCATGTTTGTCAATTGTGACTTGTGAGCAGCTAGGAATTGGGAACGAAGTCAAGAAAGGCAAAAATTGAATACGCCTGATTGCCTGAATTAGCGGGAGTAGCAGAAATCTCGGAGTTGCACACGGTAAAATTAAAGCAATCGGCCTTTCAATCAATGATATTGTGTATCCGGTAATTTACTTCTAACCTATTCTCGATGAAATCTTTAATAGCAAGCATTAATCAGCGTTTTAAACGTAATCCATTGATCGTTCTTCTCCTCCACGTTCTGACCTGTTCTCGAGTTCATGTTGTCCGACTATCTTGCCCCCCATCTGATTGACTGGTTGAGTCTCGAATCTTAAGAGTTGAGAAATCAGAAACAATATCAATTTATCACTAGTGTATGTAATCACGACTCACGCATCACTGCATCAGGTTGGTTCTCAACTTCTCCTCCTTTTAGATTTAGTTTTTGATGAATGATGATTTTGAAGAGTTTTTTTTTTTTTTTTTTTTTTTTTTTTTTTTTTTTTTTTTGAAATCCATTAAATTTATTGCATCTTCTCTATTCCAGACTTATTGATAGATCAATTTAAAGAGAATATTAATTCTATTAAGTGATTGTCGGCTCTTTTTTTGTAAGGTAATAGCTTTATTCTTTTCTGAATTGATATTTAGGTAATAGACTAATAATTTTCTGAACTGAATGAAAGTGTGAAACTTTTGTTGAGTTAAGTAATTTTCTTTTAATGCACGAAAGTTTTTTAAGGGTCTAAGCAAAGTGGGTTTTGTGATTTCTCCAATCTCCAATTTCTTCTTCAACATCAGCCTCTTCGATCCATCAGGTTGTATCTTTCTTTGATATATTTCTATTTGTTGAATTTAATCGTTTAAGTATGTTTCCACGTAAACAACCATCGGGTGCTCAAAATAGAAAACGAAAAAATAGAGAACAAGAAATTGCTAAAAAAATGCATGGGTCTATATATAATTATTTTCCTAGAAATGAAAATGTTGTTGAAAATAATAACGAAAACAATTATACTGATGACGCTGTTAATAATTCTAATGACCATGTTGATAATTCCAATGAGCCTGTTGATAATTCTAATGATTTTGTTGAAAAACCAAGTGACTTGAATATTTTTGATCCAAGAGTGTGGGATGAGTTAGGTTTAAAAATGAAAGATTTGCTTATAGAAGAATGACCTATTAGACAAATTGAAACTAACAAAAGTTTTCCAAAAGATGCACTTGGTAGACATTTTTCTTGTGAATTTTATGTTCGTAAATTAATAAATGGTGATACTTGTGATAGAAAACGGTTGGTGTATCCAAAAAACTTGATAAAGTTTTTTGTTTTTGTTGCAAGTTGTTTAAAACTGCTCGGTCTAGAAGTAATTTGGCAACCGAAGAAATAAAAGATTAGAAACATCTTAGTGAAAAATTAGGTGAACATGAAAATAGTTCTGAACATATGACTAATTTAAAAACTTGGACCGAAACACGAATTAGGTTAAATAAATATGAAACAATTGATAAAGTGTTACAAGAAATGATAAAAAAAAAAGATACTGAACATGGGAAAGAAGTTTTGGTAAGAATAATTGCAGTCGTAAAATCTTTAGCTAAAAGTAACTTGGCTTTTCGCGGAACAAATGAAAAAATATATGAAGATTCTAATGGTAACTTTTTACGTATAGTTCAAATGATTGCTGAATTTGATCCAATAATGAACAACATTTTCGACTAATTCAAGATAAAAAAAAAGTCATAATCACTATCTTAGTTATAAAATTCAAAATGAATTAATTGAAATGTTGGCATCCGAAGTAAAAAGTGCAATTATTAAAAAAAAATAAAAACTGCAAAATATTTTTTTATAATCCTTGATTGCACTCCGGATGCAAGTCACAAAGAACAAATGAAATTGATTATAAGATGTGTTGATTTTACAAGTGTTCCAATAAAAATATAAGATTTTTTTCTAGAATTTTTAGTTGTTGAAGATACATTTGGTTTAGGACTTTATAATGTTTTACAAAATGCTTTGAAATCTCTTGACTTGGATTTTAATTGTATCCGAGGACATGGGTATGATAACGGAGCAAATATGAAAGGCAAACATCAAGGTGTACAAAAATGATTGCTTGATATAAATTCAAGAGCTTTTTATATGCCTTGTGAATGTCATAGTCTTAATTTAGTTTTGCGTGATATGACAAATTCTTGTCATAAAGCAAAAACTTTTTTTGGTACTTGTCGAACGATATATAATGTTTTTTCTAGTTCTACACATAGATGGAGTATTTTACTAAAGTATTTAGATGAATTAACTCTTAAATCATTGTCTGCAACACGTTGGGAAAGTCACATTGAAAGTGTTAGAGAAATAAAAACTCTAACTTTTTCAAATTAAAAAAGCTTTAAAAAAATTAACTAAAGTGAGTGATGATGGGAAAGTTTGTAGAGATGCTGAATTATTAATACATGGTGAATTTTCTAGTTTTGAATTTATTTTAAGTTTAGTATTATGGCATGATATTTTATCTAGAATTAATTTGGTAAGTAAGAAGTTACAATATAAAGAATAAAGATATGATTCTTGATGTTGCGGTAACAAATTTAGAGGAGTTAGTTAATTATTTTGAAAACTATAGGGAAAATGGGATTGACTCTGCTATTAATGAAGATAAATAAATAGCACTTAGCATTGGAGTTAAACCAGAATTTCCTATTAAACGTATTGCTTATAGAAAAACACAATTTGATGAAGTTCCAAATACTAAAAGAGAACAACAATCTTCTAAAAAAAATTTTAAAACTCATTATTTTATTGTTTTAGTGGATATGGCTCTTACACAGTTGAAAAGTAGATTTGAGCAAATGCAACATTTTGAATCAAATTTTGGATTTTTGTTTGATGGTGTAAAGTTAAAATCCTTACTTGATGATGAATTAAAAAATTGTTGTATGAAACTTGAAACTAGTTTGACAGATGGTGAGGAACTTGATATTGATTGAAAAAGTTTATTTATTGAGTTACAAGTTTTGTAGGTAATGTTGCCTGATGAAGCATATAAAGGTGAACTTCCTTGGACAACTATTCAAATTATGGAGTTTGCAAAGAAAATGGACATGTTTCCTAATGTGTTGGTAGCATATAAGATTTTGTTGACAGTGCCGGTTACGGCAGCTACTGCGGAAAGAAGTTTTTCAAAACTGAAGTTATTGAAATCATATCTTCGAAGCACCATGAGTCAAGAAAGATTAAATGGATTGGCGATTTTGAGTATTGAAAGTCACTTTCTACAAAATCTTGATTATCATAAAATTAGGGATGTTTTTGCTTCAAAAAATGCACGTAGGCATCGTTTTAGATGATTTTTTGTATGTTTTTGTTTGTATAACCATGATTTAGTTTGGTTATAAAATATATTTCAATTTTGCTCTAACATTTTTATATATAAGGGAATTGTTTTAGTATCTCGCCCCGGACATTGAAAGTCAATGGACCACCCCTGTTTATATGGCATGTGTGAACCATAATTCACAAAGTTCTACCGCTTAATGCATTTAAAAAACCAAAGAATTGGAGACTATTGTCCTTTTTTTTTTCATTTTTACAAACAATTCGCAGTGTCATACCCCCGACCGAGGTGACGGAACATGTCGGCTGTGCGACTTAGTTCATTGATCACATGTAAACTAAATATATAGCATAAGTACAACTATAAACAAAACAACATTTGTATTCCATGTTGGTGTTTGAATACATGGTTCTTACAGATAATAGCATAGTACATGAATTGCTTTAAACAGGTAAGCAGACATAACAAAAGCTAGTAAACAACATCTGTAGTCCTTTTCACTAGCTGTAACATATTCAACAACTATAACATGTGTATACAAGTGTATGACTAATTTATTTGTGAATAACATGTCATTTGCCAAAACAACATGTATAAACTAGTTAATAGCTTTTCACAAAAAATGATAACCTTTTATTTCATGTTTTTGCATATTCATGCATATGTAAGCACATGTATTCTCCCCCAAAGCATATAAAAACTTAAAATAAGGGCCGTAACACTCACCCCTGACGCGTGAATTAATGTTTTTTTATGCACTAGTTTTTTTTTATTTATAATGACCTATCAAATGTCAACTAGTCTTAAACATAAATATGCAGTATACCTAGTCATGAACTAATATAGTTGTGGTACGAAATGGTGTCGAACACAAGGAACGTGATGGTTTAGATCAAATAATTCAAATGTTAATATAATTAAATTAATACCAGTAAAGTAAAAGGTGGTTTTTGTGTAAAGTAAATTAAACTAATTTTAATGCTCAATTAATCAACGAAACTAATGAACTAAATGGAAACAATAAATAAGAAGTACTTCCAATAGAATACGAATCCCCCAAGTTTTTATGTTTGATTTATTATAAGTGCAATGGATTAATGAATTGATTACTGTATTGTAATATGACTAGTTATCTTGATCGAATTTCCTTGTACTAATAATTAATGAACAACTAACATAACGATCATGCAACTAGTGAACACATAATTCATTAAATATATTTGAACCATGAACAATATGATCTATTGATTTCTTGTCAATGATCATGATAATCAATCTAAGAATAGCATGGATACCTAATGCTCACTAACATAATCAAAGTCCCTAATTAATATTATCGAACCCTAGGCTTATGATCAAAGTCCTAGTCATATAAACCTAATGA